GAGAGAGAGAGAGAGAGAGAGAGAGAGAGAGAGAGAGAGAGAGAGAGAGAGAGAGACTAGCAGGAAGGTGTAATGAGAGTAGTTTACTGCTTAATCGGAGTTTCTCGAGCGGATTCTCCAACTACTCCAATTAACCCGCCGTAAAATCGGATTGTGAATAGGTTCAAGGATAAATTCGGCGCGATATCGATTAACCGTCTAGCAGACATCTCGACGGCGAGTTGAGGATCCCATTAATAGCGCACTTGAAAGATTAATTCTGTTAATTGCTGCGCGCCCGACGCACAGAGAAGACAATTATGACTCTAACGTGATATCTTGACGAGGATCTTTCGTGATCCTTTGGTCTCTCGCTCGTCGATTGACGACTGGTACCACAGAGAAACCTATTATGATTGCCACAACCACATTTCCCGTGGCTCGAAAAATAATTAATGTAAAACCGAGTTAAGTGAATATTGCATTAAAAATTATTATATGCCCGTCTGTACTGTTATCACAGCGTTCTTATGATACGTAATATATACGTAATGTTTAATTAGTACATTCTCATATTTAATTGTTTCAAGTAAAAACATATTGTCATTCATTTTTTTTTCCTATTTTATTTTCTATTATTTTTTTTCTATTTTCTATTATATTTATATTTCCTATTATTAAAACTAGTAGAGTACATCACTATGCACAGGCTGGTAGTTTCGTTGTGAGACTACGCTTGAAAGTATGATTTGGTTTTAATAAGTGATCTCACGGTGAAATCATTGTGTTCTAAAAGGTTAAGATATATAAAATCTTCATTTTTATATATCATTATATATCTTCATTTAAAATTTTCATTTTTAATGAAAGCAATTGTCTATTCCATTTAAGTAAAAGAATTCAGATTTAAGTAAACATATATATTAATAGAATCTGTCAATAAATATTCTTTATTTTCTTTAATATTTTGTCTCTCAGTGTATGGTTGAGAGATACCCGCAGGGTTTAGTTGTGGCGTACAGCACTGAGATTTCCGTTCAAACACACACGGACAGGCAGCAAAGAAGGCCAGTGTACCACTTCCAAAGCACATATGGTTTCTACAATCCTTTTGCGGCTCAGCGAGGTTAGTAGCCTGCTGAGCTTAAATCCACCAAAAATGCTCACAGAATCAACGACATGCCTCGGAACAAACCGAGGCATAACAGTTGAAAATAACAAGCCATAGGCTTAAACGAAAAGGAAGAGAAAGAAAAAGAACTTTTTTGTTGCGACAATCATATTTGGCCAAGTGATATTCTGAGAATTTTCTCCGTGTAACGTCGAGGAATTTGGCGAAGAAAATGAAGTCATTAAAAGGACGCTGAAGTGAATGTCAAACTTCAAAAATATCGATAACGTAGAGGCGATCACTAACACGATTGTCCTATCTTTTCTCAACATCTTGAGAACGTTCCCAGGACATTCCTTGAAAATCTTGCGCTGTCTGGGAAACATCTGTCAGCAGAAGACGCAAGAAACGCGAGAGTCGTTTCGAGTTGCGCGAATTTTCCGGAAACCTTTCACTCTTCGTCGCGGCTTCGCACGCGATTACTCCCTAATCTGCAAATTGTCAAGCAGACCCGAACATTTAACATGTGGATACGTTCGCGCAACTTGCGGGTCTAAGCGCGGTCAGTGTTTAAACGCGAGATTGGCCGACGGAGCGACTACACGGTCGTTCAGGGTCCCGCGCAGGAAGCGGCCGAGGGCCTTGATGGGCGTCGTTATGCCTTTGTGAATGGCTATGGGACAAATTGCGCCGTGGGCGAGATAGGTACGGCGAGTATTTTTGAGTTCGAGTGCCGTACGCCGGAGAAACGGACGTCCCACGCTGAAAGCTATGAACTATTCGAGGCGGTACTCGTATGTATTCGAAGCTTCGGTTTAATTCGACGTTTGACGTTGGAGCTCGAAGTTTCGATTCTTCGAGAACTCTGAAGATTTGAAATATCAAAGGCTTTGGCAAAACTAATTTTGGAGAGTGTAACAAGGTTCTGCGCAATTAATATCAGCTCCAGTATCTTTATCAAAATTGCGACACTCCTACACACGTGGAAAACACATTCGGATAAATATTAGTTTTTCAAGTAATTTATAAATTTACATATTCAGATCCGCAAACCTAATCATAAAAAAAGTTCATCAACATTAAATTTATTCAAAATTACATTCTGAATCTCTTAGTGAATTTAACGTTTTAACTTACTTGAAAGAAGGAAAGTAAACTGAATATTCGCTTTTCTTAGCAATAGAATGATATTTTTCTACTTTTGAGTTCTTAAAGCTCTGAATGATTCGGGCGTTCGAATATTCGAATGCTCGAATATTTACTCTTTAAAATTTCGTTATTTGAATATAATGCCTCGAAGAACTAAAGCTTCATATACAATTTGTTGCTCTAGTACGGACTGTCAGCGTCGTTGCATTGATATTCCCCGGTATGTACGTGAGCTTTTTTTTTATATTTCTGCTTTCACGCGTGGTTACCCGGGTGAGTGTTAATCGGTCGCTATCTGTCTTTTTTACGGCTTTGTGAGAGTGCACGTAGCGGAATCAGAGCTACGTGAGCCGAGGCAGAATCGAGGATCGGTAATTGCTACGAAGCAGGCAGAAACAAACTCGCCTTGCTTTAATGGTTTACAAGAAGTGCTCCTGGCTAGACAGTGTCGGTAAATATCTTACTACACGCGCGGCACGCACAAGACGATCCCACGTAAAGCCAGTATGAGATTACGCATTGGAGATAGTGGATTGCGAATTGGAGATTGGGACCCGATCAATCTCAGGACAAAGCGGACCAAGATTGAAGTCACTCGATTGGTTCAGTTTCAATTCCCGATTCGCAATCCTCAATCTCTACCACATCGTCTGGTACGAGCTTTGCTAGTTCATCAATCTCGCAGCGTAACGACATCAAAATGCTCGTAAGAAATATTTCCAGAGCATTCGTCATATTTTTTTATACGTACATATTACATGTTAGAGTTTTTGGGCATCAAATCTCTCTAAAAAAAAATTTCACTGGTCCAAATAGAATTCTACATGTCACAATTAAAATTTAACGTTGTTTCTCTGTATCTGATAGAAAATTGTCTTGATACGTAAAATTTACGGCAGCAGTATTTTAGCAATATTTGCATTAAAGCAAATTTAAGTAGGTGTGAGGATTATACATTCGTTTGTTTCTTATCGTTTGTTTGTTTCTTTTCTGTTTACCACAGTCAATTTTTATAATAAGTGTAGCTGGCTTTAATCAAGATGGACTGAGAAACTCTTTTGCTAAATTTCACATATAGTACAATTTGAGAAATTCTGTCTTCGTAATCTATATTGATTAAATATGAAACACAATGTCGCAATGTTTGTTGGTTATTTATCCATATTAGCTAATTTTCGCTATGACTGCAAGATAATCTTTTTTAGTGTAGTTATTAGCTAGCGCTCCGCCTTTCAAGCAATAACTAATTATAATGTTGCACTATGTAAAAAGTAATTTCGAATTTTTCAGGTAACATAAAACGATTGTATTTTTACGTTGTTTTAATTTTATGAAATAATATATGGGAATACAATGGTGAAAGATTGTAGATCATAAAGGCGCTTACACTGTTTCACAAAATTGTTATACTTTAAAAATATATAATTTTTTATTTTGCCTGAAAAATCCGAAATTACTTATTACATAATTTATATAGTATAACAAAACCATTGTAATACACACAGAAAAATACTAATTATTTTATCAAGAGATTCATGGGCAGTTTACAGCTTTTTAATGTTCTCAATTCTATCATCAACAAGTACAACAAAATGCATAAGAAATAAAATTGAATACAAGATATAGGCGTTTTTAGTTTACTGAATATGGAGTCAAATGTGTAAAATTATTTGTATAAATAATAAAATGTTTAAATAAAACATGTAAACAGTTGAAAAAAATTATTTATATAAATAATTTCTCGGTTTGGCCAAAATTCAAACCATTTTTTATTAATTTAGCACAGATTTGAAATATTTAGATTGGAATCTCGGCTAAAGAAATTTAGAATGGTTCGTGTCTCAGCTATGCCGATTTTGTTAAAATTATTTAACTATATCTTGTATTCAATTTTATTTCTTATGCATTTTTGTTGACTTGTTGATGATAGGAGTGAGAACATTAAAAAACTATAAACTATAAACTATAAACCGTGAAACTCAAAGTAGGCCAAAATGAAAAAATATTATCTAAATATTTGTTGTACTTCTACATTTGTGCTAAATTAGAAAAGAAATCGGAATGTACCTTTTAGGTAGGTTTATTTGTAAGTGCCAACTGCATTCGTTAACTATCACAAGATTTTCTTCTTTATATATATTTTTCTATGTGTGTGTATGTTAACTGTGTGATAAGTAACAGTAGTAATAATAACGCCATTATTATTACTGTGTTTATTGCATGTGTCTGGAGATGGCCGTTGAAAGTTTGAAATTCGGCAATTTCCATAGCGCGCATTATCATCTCGCAATCGTGCATCATCATCGGAGCGCCGCTCGGCCGCGCGCGACGATATTTTCAATGGCAAATTAATCATTACACTCGCGCCTCGCTATCTCACCGCGTAAATCGGCTGTTCGTCGCACTCGTATTTGTAAATGCCGAACGGTTTGTTGTTATGCATATTGTTCGCCGCCGTGTACGCGTACACGCGGGGGTTTCGTGTTCCGGGCACGTAGCGCCCGTATCGGGATAGGACGAGGGCTAAAAGGGGATTGGGCGGTGGATGTAGCTGACTGTTGTAGCTGTCGGCGTTTAGAGTCTCGCTCAGGAAGCGATCGAGGGCCTTGATGGCCGTCGCTACGTCTTGCGGCCTGGGACGGTGATACGTCGACTCAGCCTTCCCACGATACGGCAGTTTACCGTCATCCAGGTCATCCGTCAGGTACCCGTCGAGCTCTTCGATATCGTGATACGAAAATCGTCGAGGCACGTTGCGCTGATATCCTCGGATGCTTCGTGGCCTCGATAACGTCGTCGTCGTCGCCGCAGTCGTCGTGGTCGTCGTCGTCGTGGCGGCTCTCATCGTCGTTGGCGACGATGGCGACGGCGATGCGTTCGACGGCACTTCCGCCGAAAGCCAAACTTCGTCGCGCTGAATTTCCGTGGGGAACCTCGTCGAGAAAAGGAGATATAGTATAATATCTGCGATCCTTGAGAGAGAGAGAGAGAGAGAGAGAGAGAGGCAGAAAGAGGATATATCACGAGATTTCTCGTCTTGAAATGTGTATCGAGTCAGTCAGTATCTACTTGAGGGTCCCGCCTACTTACGGAAAGTTCCAGAATCTACCGAAAGACATTTCAGTTACACGCGACATGACTTTACCTCCCTCAACATAAATTCGCCCGAGATTTACCAGTCACGCAATTCATCGTTGGAAATTAAAAAAGTTGTACTGATCGACGGTTTCTTCCGTGACATCACCGCTGGAGAAAGATCGACCGTGAGATTCGTCAAAGAAAATCCCCCAATTCAAGTTCCATGACAGGTTTTCAGGATCCCGTGTACATCAATCGAGAGTGTACCTCATACGCAAACTATTTACACTTGTTATTCTTAAATCGCACGAAATCGTCGCACAACTTTCAGAAGAAAAGAATAGACTCTCGACTAGAAATTTATCTCATGTTTCTGATCAGATTTATTCGAAAAAATATAAACTTATCCTTGGCAAGATACTTCAAAAGGCTGCAATTTCAACAAACAGCCATATTAGCTGTTGGTTGAGATTGCAACCTCTTGGTCCGTTTATCTCCCAAACGACTACGAGAATAATAAGGCAAACTCGGACATGATGACCAACCGGAAAAAATGGTCATAAATTATACTTTTTTCTAATAATTGCTAAATAATACGTTTTAGTATCTGAATGTACGCTTATAAACTACTATAAATATCGATTATCTTTGAGAATGACTATAAAAGCGCACTATTTTAACAATTACTGGAGAAATTACAGTCTATATGGCTATCATACGACTTTACCCTATTGAGCTACTCGTCCTAACCTACTTAACACGATGTTCAAAATTGGAACATAAGACATCTTTAAGACGTCTTTAAGACGTCAGAACATAAGCCATCTTGAAAACGTCTTATGTTCTGATTTTGGACATTGTGTTGTGTGGGAAATTTCAAATTGATGAAACTTTCAATGAATGATATCATTCACTGAAATATTCAAAGTTTTATAAAATCCCATTTCCCATGGAACAGAGACGAAACTTGTCCGCACTCTTTCTAATCTGATCGCTTGTACCTGTGGCGGATGTTCGGCCGCGACTCCTGCTGGCGGTTGCTCGAGGTCGACGCAGACTGGAGTCCTCCTCCGGAACGTTCTGGCCGCGAATCTCCAGAGAACACAGGCTTCTCCAGATCATTGTCGATCACGTGGTCGACATGGACAGCGTATTGCGGATATTTCGGTGTACTCGCTACTGGCAGATAACTATGCCACGGGCGCATTATAACCGTCGGTCGCGCCGCATCCGTGGATGCCTTGGCCGTCAGTATGGCATTCGTCAGGCAGACACGTGTCACCTACATTTGCGCGAAGAGGACGTCTGTTAGTGTTCGTCCGCCTTTCGGAAATGCATTCCCGCGATGCCGTGCCGTTATACGGATCGGCGCTTACAGCCGCGGCACAATGCCAGATTCGTTTTAGGAACCCCCGGGTCGATGCACCCACGAGCAGCCGTCAAACGAAACCGTGCCCGGCTCGGTAGCCAAGTTCACGGTGCCGTCGCTCGTTCCCGTCGAGACTATTAGATAAACGTCGGGGTTTTCGTGCCGAAATAGAAAGAAAGCTTAGTCGTTAACGCGCCGAGTGACGAATATGACGATCGATCGCATCCCCGCGTTTTCCTTGGCAGCGCTTCAACGGCATGACGCTTTCCCCTCCACACGGTCGCGCACTTTAATTTACACTTTAACTCTTTGTGGTTCCTCTGTTATGTCCCGACATTTCGTTCCGGCAGATTCACGCGCATTCAACTATTTTTCCGTCGATGCCTCAACGATTGTGTCTTTTGATACTCCGGTTATTTATTTCAGCTTTGATACAGTAGACTCTTTCATTGCTTTGACGAGGCGATACCTTTTATCCACGGGCATGCAATTAAATATAATGGAGACACGTTGAAATGCTCGTTTTTTAATGATAACATTGCAATTAATCACGTTGCAATTAGCTTTGTTTAAAAGGGACGCGAGAGGAATGACATTTGATACTGAAGCATAGGCGAATGAGTGTTGTTCTTTAAAAATGATATATTTAAGTGACCGAGAGAGACCCGCTTTAAAATGCAGATTGCTCAAGAACGAAAAGTTCGAAAATTTTATATAAACGTTACTTTTGGTAGTAATTCCATTAATTATTGATTAATAAAAATGTAAAACTGATCATGCTTTCTTATTAGATCAGTCATTGGAACATTTACCTTACATAGTTTTATATTAAGAAAAAATTTCCTTCAAATGAGAAAATATATATTTTCTCAAAACCGTTGCTTTTCATGAAGACAATGGTTTATCCTATTTAAACGAAAGAATTTACATTTAAATAAGTATGTTATATTAGTGCTTACCGCGAATATATTTTTTTCAGATATTTTTTCTCTCAGTGTAGAAAATAAACAGAGATTAATACCTATATGATTTCCTGAGGCTTAACTTTTGGTATTACAATTATGAGGCAACCATTGCGTTGAGTAAAACAAAATATCGGCGAAGAGTCAATTTTTAGCGCAGCCACAGCGTCTGAGACTAAACTCACTGAAATTACTCTGGCCTCGATCTTCGTTTCATCTTCGTTTTGTTAGCACATACGTTAACGGAATTTATCGCTGGTAAAACGCAGCACGATACTTTACCGTAAAATACGCGGTGGCTTTATCGTATTTCAGCTTAACATTTATACCGGTTATTATTGCCACTTCGTCGCGACGTTTTAATGCGACCTTCGTCGCGTAATGCACGCGCTGTTTCGGAACTCTCGTTACCAGGCAAACAATGCCGATTTTCCGGGCAGCCGCCATCCTCCTTCTACTTCGTAAAAAGGACTAAAACGGCAACACACACTCGGCGTGCCATTTATACCGCGCGCCGCCGCGTTCGCTTAAGAGCCAAGTCTTGTCTCGGCCAGGAAATGCGTAGAGCGTATACTCTCGTCTGTCGTCTCCAAAGATTTCTACACTTTCCCCCTTTTCTGTGTCAAGACCATACGCGTTATTCACAAATCGCCAAGTGTTATTAAGAACTTTCCTTTTGTCTCGTGAAGACACTACCAACGAATACCGCGTAACTTCTGCTTCATTTAAATTTCTTTTGTTTAGTTTGGTGGAAAGAGATTCGTTTCTTTGGGGCTCGCAAATGCAGTCTTGAAGGGCGTATATCCTGTGTGTGTTTGTTCCGAAATATTTCTTACCATAAAGTAGATTTTATGCAAGAAATGCAAGAAAAGACCAACAAAATTGTGATATAAACTGAGAGAAAAATATCTAACAAAATAAGAAATATTCCTTCGGTGGATGCTACTAACATAAGGTAAAAGTATCAATACTTGGATACGTACCAAGATGTATCTAATTCTGGACCTTCTTGTTGTTTTGATTTTAAATACGAATATATCAACTTTAAATACGAATTTTTAATCTTCAAACATAAAATATTTATATATATATATTCAATATATATTCTATATTGAAAGTTTGAATATTTCAATATTTTAAGACTAAAATAACAAGCATGCATATGTAGTAGAATTACATATATGCTAGGTACGTGTCCAGGTATTAGTACTTTTGTCATATATATTTACTTTATATCAATATACATATTCTTATATTGAAGAAACATTTCTTTCTAATAAGAAAATATATATTTTCCTAAAACATTGCTTTTTATGAAAAAACAATTGTTTATTATTTAAATAAAACTTATAAAAAATATTATTTAAACAAAAAGAATTTTTAAGAAAGTTTTAAATAAATATAATATTAAATTAATATTTTAAATAAATATTAATATTTATCAAATAAATATTTTTTACTTTTTAGATATTTCTTCTCTCAGTATACATATCACAGTGAAATTTCAATATATGTGCAAAGTTTCAATATATGTAAAAGATTAATGAACTTCAATATACATACATAAATAATGTATATATGAAAACGTGTATATGAAAATTAAAGCATTATTTTTCTTTATTTTGAAAAATAGACAACATTCAGCATGTATCGTAATTTGAAGATAAAAAGATTCTTCTAATATTTGTTAAGTCGTAAAACTTGAAAATATATAATATAGCTCTAACATGTTGTTAAATTACATATTTATTTTTAATATTCGTGTTCTCTATTTGTTATTAAAGATAGTGGAAGTTCATATTAGCAGAGATTTTAGAATCACACTTTGGAATAATAGTTTATCTACACAGAGTTTGTAAAGTGCGACTAACGGGTTGCTTGGCGTCATCTAGCGGAATAACTCAAGCCAGAAATGCGGCCAAGTTTTCCTAGTTACACACCATCCGCTACGAGCCGCCACTATCCGTAGTGCAAAACTACGAGTACGTAGTATGTCTCAACGATAAATTAACCGTACTAATAAGACCAACTCAACGACAAATCAGACTCATTTTTACATTACACACAAAAATTAAAGAATCATTTTTTACGATTATGAAAAACAAACAAAATTCAACGTATTATAGTTTTGGAAGAAATTGTGATAATTAGATGACTCGAGAAACATTTTGCATCTTCAAATCTTTAGTTTTAAATATATTAAAGTCATTATGATACTATTATCGTTTTTCAAGATATATTGAATTGAATGTAGAAATATCAATATTCTAATTACTTCAATTTCTTCGTGTTATTTTGTAATTGATTTTATATTAAAAACTTATTTCTATAAAAAATGTAAAACTTTTTTTTCTTCTTCATACAGCTGTATTTATGAAATTTTGTACTGCCCTCGTATGTTCTAGAGTCGATTGTGTATTACACAAGACAATGTAATGAAAATTACAAATGTGAACAAACTCATTAGTTGTTGATTAATGAAATTATAATCTTTTAGTAAATATAGTTTTGTAATTTTCACTAAGTTGTGTGTAACACACAACCCTCTGAGGGTGCAAACCCATGCAGCGGAATAGCGGAGCGCGGAACAAGAGTGGAACCAATCACGAGCGTTCCACAGTTTTCGCTTGTGATTGGTTCCGCTCTCGTTCCGCGCTCCGCTATTCCGCTGCATGGGTTTGCACCCTGATCCTACTGTCATTCCATGCAATTCCATTGCAGCTAAATAGAACAAACCTGCTGTTCGCTTTGATGGATACTGAAAAACGATTAGAGCAATGGCGTAGGGTCATTAAAGCTAAGTACTCATCTATTGAAGTCTACTGGAAAACGAGCTTAAGGTTTCTTTCCCGCCAAATCTTCATTGGCGTGTTTTGCATCAGCGCTTTAATTTTATCTGTTTGTTTATGTGCAAAGTATCTTTTTGCAATTAATCCAAAACAATGGATGCTGCACAGCAAGGTCGATTACATGTGCGCGATGAAATCGGAGTCAAGTGTCAAAAATTGTTTCAGGATTTCCTGGAGGAGTAAGTTATTTTATATTAATTAAATTTTTATATACTATTTAAGAACTTTTAATTTTATCTACTTGAATTTAACATTGAAATTAATAATATTGTTAGGCTGGAATTTATTTTGTATATTATATCATAGATTTAAGGAAGATGGAGAAGTCAAATACTTGGAGCCAGCTAAAGAACTCATCAGTCCAGAACGTTGTACATTAGAGATATCACTTGAGGATATTGAAACATACAATCAAGTTCTAGCTAGAACCATAGTCGAGGAATACTATAGGTTGTATAATCTATCTCAGTTAACTAAAGCATGATGTTATTAATATCTATATTATATATGAAATATATACTTAATTGTTCCTATTATAATGTACAATATATTACAGCATATATTATAAATTACTAATGGACACAATTATTTGTTTTTCTAGGATATATCCATTCTTGTGTCAAGCAGTATGTAACTTTGTCAAAGATATAGGGGAATTGGAGAAGAGTAAGGAGTGCTATGTTAGTTTTGCTGATGTACTTTCTAAGCTAAGTTTAAGAGATTTAAATACATCACGATTGGGTACTTTGTCTCGTATATCTGGACAAGTGGTACGAACACATCCAGTTCATCCAGAATTAGTCCTTGGTACTTTTATTTGTATGGACTGTAATGCATTTATTAAAAATGTGGAGCAGCAGTTTAAGGTAAAGAACAAATTTATTCTGTATGTTCTACTGGTATAAATCTAATGATGATTAATTAAAATAACCAGTAGGTCTTTGATAATGAATATCTAATTTATTTTTCAGTTTACAAATCCAACAATCTGCTCCAATCCAGTATGTAGCAACAGACGTCGTTTTTTATTGGATGTAGACAATTCAGTGTTTGTGGACTTTCAAAAAGTGAGGATACAAGAAACACAAGCTGAACTTCCCAGAGGAGCCATACCTCGTTCTGTTGAAATTATTCTGAGAGCAGAGATGGTCGAATTTGTACAGGCCGGCGATAGGTAGGAATTCAAAAGTAAAATGTTTACGATATTTAAAACAATCTTATAAACGAATTTCCTTCTTTATAGATACGATTTTACTGGGACTCTTATAGTAGTTCCAGATGTGGGAGCATTATCTCTGCCAAATGCCAAGGCAGAAATTGGGCCAAAAAATAGAAATAATGAGCAAAGAGAGGGTGTAAGTGGCCTCAAGTCACTTGGTGTTAGGGAATTAACGTACAAAACGGCATTCCTCGCCTGCAGTGTTAATGCTACAAACTTGAGAGTAAGTGAAACTAAGTGAGAATACAAGAAGAACAAGGTGTATCGTTGTTAAGAAAGAAAACACATATTCACCTAATTGGCTTCATACTTCTATTTATAGTTTGGAGGCACAGATATGGCGATGGAAGAAATTTCGCAGGAAATGATGAAAAAACAAATGTCGGAGGCGGAGTGGAATCGCATATACGAGATGAGTCGAGACAAGAATTTATATGAGAACCTAGCTTCCAGTATGTTTCCCGCGGTCCACGGTAACGACGAGATCAAGAAGGGAATTATTCTCATGTTCTTCGGCGGCGTGCCAAAGACCACGGAAGAATGCACATCTCTAAGGGGGGATATCAATGTCTGCATCGTTGGCGATCCCAGTACCGCGAAGTCGCAGTTTCTTAAGTGCGTCGCCGATGTTTCGCCTCGAGCGGTTTACACTTCCGGGAAAGCGTCGAGCGCGGCCGGCTTAACGGCTGCGGTGGTGCGAGACGAGGAGTCCGCGGACTTCGTCATTGAGGCTGGCGCGTTGATGCTCGCGGATCATGGCATTTGTTGCATCGACGAATTCGACAAGATGGACTTGAAGGATCAAGTCGCGATTCACGAAGCTATGGAACAGCAGACGATCTCGATAGCTAAGGTATCTGAGGATACAGCGAGAACATCCAAATTATTGAAATTATCGGGTATATTTTCTTATTAATCAGTATAAACGTATCCTTAGGCAGGTGTAAGAGCGACTCTAAATGCTCGGACGTCAATATTAGCGGCGGCAAATCCCATCGGCGGGCGATACGACAGGAGAAAATCGCTGCAGCAGAACGTACAGTTAACCGCGCCGATCATGTCGAGATTCGATTTGTTTTTCGTCGTGCTGGATGAATGTAACGAAATTGTCGACAGCGGAATCGCCAAGAGAATCATCGACTTACATTGCGATAATCTGAATGACATCCAGATAATATATAAACAAGAGGAGATCATCAGATACATCAATTTTGCTAAGCATTTTAAGCCCGTTTTAAATCAGGTAAGATACACTGGGTGGATGTGTGGGATAAGTCACTTGTATCTCATGATGATTTCATTGGATAACGTGATCAAATCTTTGTAGGAAGCTGCTGCGCTCTTGGTGGATAATTATACGGCTCTTAGACAGAGAACCGGCAGTGGAAGCGGCAAATGGAGAGTGACCGTGAGGCAATTAGAGAGCATGGTTAGGCTGTCCGAGGCGTTGGCAAAACTCGAATGCGTGGACGAAGTAACGGTGAAGCACGTGAGGGAAGCGAAGCGATTGTTACAAAAAAGCATAGTTACAGTAGAACAGCCTGATGTGGATCTCGAAGAGGGCATGGATGATGCGAATGCGGAAATGGACGTCGACGAAGCACCGCCGCTCATGGAAGCTCTTAACGCGCTAGACAACAACGATGCACCGCCTCAACCTCGTACGTTTGCATAACTTTTCTCACACTTATGTCGTGTTCATATTATCATTACTCAGTTGATTTTTCAGCCGCCAATGAAACGCGCGAGCCGCCGAAGAAGAAATTAACGATGTCCTTTGAGGTGTACAAAAATTTGTCGAACATGTTAATCCTCTACATGAGAAGCGAAGAGAGTCGTGTCGAAAGCGAAGGTATTCTTTATTGCATTATAGTAGACACTGTAATAGATATAAATAGGTATGAATACAGCTTAATTGTCATATATATCTATTAAATCGATATAATGCGATCTGACAGATGACAATAAGGGTGGTATACGGAAATCGGAACTGGTTGTATGGTATCTCGATCAGATACAAGGACAAATAGATTCAGAAGAAGAGCTGTTGGATCGGAAAAACTTCATTGAGAAGGTTATTGATAGATTAATATACAATGTATGTATTAATATCTTTATTTACTATATAGTTACCTTCTTTACTTAGATCTGTCAAACTATAATGCGTACAAATTTTTTTTCAGGATCAAATTATAATACCTCTGACAACAACTGATTTGAGGAGACGTACAGAAGATGAGAAAGACGAGGAAGATCCTTTGCTTGTTGTTCATCCCAACTACGTCATGGATATGTAATTTTACGCACTATATATGTATTATGTTAATGTCGCCATAAGAGAGATTAAGTGCCTTGTGACAACGGAAAACACTCAACCATCTTTGCAGAAAACTATATCTACACAATTTCTTTGTATCGAAAAATGTCATATTTTTTTATTGAGATTCTGCGAATTTTATAAAAATTTTTAAACAACCGTAACAACGATTTAAGTAAATTATTATTAAGCCGTCAATAAGCATATATTTTTGTAATATTTATAGTCTGTAGAAAGGTAAAAAAATAAAGTATAAAAATATTAAATATAATTATAATTTTTCTTTTTGTTTAAATGCGCTCTTTTGTGATGCTTATACTCCTTTGTGCAAGGATCATAAGTATCACAAATGCCGTTATTAAAATGCGGAATATTCTTGACCTATTTCAACAATACGCTAATTACCATCGCGTAAGTCGCGCTAATTGATGCTCATTTTAATGCACTCGTTGGAAAGCGAAACAATCTGGTTCTTTAGAATGTTGAACTACGTAGCTTCAGTATCGGCTCAGACGTCATTTTAACTGTTGCAGTGATATTGATAGGAGTGTTCATAAATGTGTTCAAGTTAATTTACGCGTAATGAAGAAATTTTTTTAATTGCAAGAAATACGTAAATATCCTTTTACATAAAAATATTTATGAAAAACAGACTTCGTAAAATTTCTTGATTTCTTCGATTTTTTTGTCAGTTTGTTAATTGCTAAAAATATTTTTTTCATCGATGTGGAAATATTTTTTTCCTCAATATGGAAATGTCAATTCATTATTTAAAAATTTGTAACGATTATAATTTGACAAAGTAATAAAGTGACTAGACTTTCCAGCCCCCAATTCGAGACACTTTATAAATGTGTCAAGCGGAGTGGGGGAGAATAAAAAATCACTAGAAATTATTTATACGTGTATAAAACAATATTTTATTAGTAGATATATGAAAAATAATAATTTTTAATAATAACAGCATATATATGCCAATATTGATACAATTATGTTGTGCAATATTGACAATTTATTTACATTTTATTTATAACCAATATTGATTATATATTGGCTATGTTTATGATTTTAATATAATGTAAATACTATGTATTCTTTCACTGCCGCTCAAATGTGCACAGAGTGTGTCACAAAAGTGTTCTAAATTCGCTAGTGTGAATTGACTATATTGACTATATATTGGCTATATTAGCTCAATGTATAATATAGTCAATATCGGCTATATTAGCTCAATGCTAATATAATCAATATCGGGTCAATGTAACGCTAATGAACTATGCTACTAAGATTAGTCAGAAGCGTTTTAAAGATTCTCTGAACCAGGATAAACCAGGACAGAGTTTGACTAAATCCGGGACAAACGGAAAAAGCGGGATTATCCCAGGAAAAAACGGGACGTCTGGTTACCTCAGAAATAGTCACATGTGCATGATTAGCGAATGTGCACATCTGTGTTTATGGTTTTGATACGATGTAAATACAATGTGTTCTTTCATTGCCGTTCAGATGTGCACAGAGTGTGTTGCAAAAGTGTTCTAAGTCCGCTAGTGCGAATATGATTCGTGCGTTAATGACGTACAGATAATTTTGTTGCACAGTTGTACATGAGGATAGTCTTCGAGCGTCTCAGGAAAGTGAAGGTTGCGAGATTCGACCAGTGATTCTACAGAATTCACAATTTTTCAATCATTCAGTTAAAAGATCCCCGTTCTCCTACAAAGTCTTTTTAAAAACTTCACTGATAGTGAAGCTTTATCAGTGTTTATCAGCGCAGTCTTTTGAATATATGGAGTGTCATTGAAATGCACGCGCGTGTGTGGTAACGAAATTTCGGTTTCAATACGAACGAGTTTCTCTCGTAATACTGTTCACTGATACGCGATGGCTGCGAGAGAGCTACCAGTGACAGAGTTGCGACAGGTTAGTAAAGTTTTCACGCATATTGTTCTAACTGAAAGGGTATCGGTTTTTCATGTTTTGAAACAATCCCATTTATATGTTGTCCAAATAACTTCGGTCACAAGAACAAAAAAACTAGCTGAAAAAATTTACCATCGTTTATTTATTTACAATCTTTCGAAAGTAAACTAAAATGGACTTTTTTCAAATTTATTTAGATTTAAACTATGGTGTTTGCGATAAACCCTCATTCAGATTCCTCGCAGTTAGTTCGACGCAGAATTTTGTGGCACAAATAACACTACGGCACACAAACGTATTCTAATCAATTTTCCTTTGGAATAGATCGACGATCCGCGTATTTGTAAGAAGTCAAACGAATTGCGTAATTAGAATCAAACACATTAAGTAACTAAAACAAACTGACTTTTATCAAGTTCCGGTTAACTTAATCGATTAATTTCGTTGTGACCAGGAAATAGTCATTGACCAATTTTGCTACTTATAACGGAATTATAATCGACACTCAAGTTAATTGAAGTTTGGTAAAAGTTATTCTCTAAATTAAATTATTCTCTCAATTATCCTCTAAATTAAATTAAAAGTTGTCCTTTAAATTTGGCTGTGGGCCAAATGAAGGTTTGGACGTTCTCTTAGTTAAGAAATTGATGTGTGAAGAAAACAAGAAATACAAAATAAGATAAATTCAATAGACACGCAAGTGGGTACCATGTGTGGGCGACTTTGCGATCTTGAAGAAATACTATGCCGAGAAGAAACGACCGTTCTGGCTGGTGCTGCAATTATTCGACGCTTTGCTTCGGGGATTTGGGCAAGTGAGCAATCAAACTTGTGCAATATCCGGGATTCACATATATCTGTATTGTTTCCGAATAGAAGCTGCTCTAAAATGAATCACGGATTTTGCACGCGATAACACTCATTGTATTCCAAAAATAACAGTTCTTCGGGATGGCGTGGGCAAAAAAGTAAATAGGTTTTAAGCGCCAACGATAAAATAAAAATTTCATTCAGAGCTGGGAAAATTACACAGAAAAAAATTAATATCCCACTTAAAAATAATATATTCAAATTAACAATCATTGTCTCATATATAAACAACGACATATAATTTTGTTAGAAGGATCTTAAAGTTTTGAATTTCAACAATATTACAATTTCATTTAAACATTATGATAAAAGTGCAATATGATTATTTTGATGGCAATTATACTTTCCTCGATATTTAAAAACATCATATTTTCAGTCTAATATTTTGTACTTTTCATTCATAAAAATGATTTTTGAATAATACGAATATATTTTTCTCTGACGTATTATATAAAATGTATTGACGCAAGTAACTTATATGTATTACTTTCATTTAACACACACACATGCTACATATATAATTTTATTTTAAGATTTACATGTTAAAAATGAAGATTATCGAAACAATAATGTTTCCTTTTTGTATTTTTTCGTTAACGAAGATTATCGAAACAATAATGTTTCCTTTGTGTATTTTTTCGTTAACGTGACTTGTTCTTCAAAAAGGAATAATCGTTACAATTTACTATTATCTTCCTCATCACATTTTGAATATCTTTGTTTTGCTGATTCGTTTTTTCACGTCATTTGATTCACGCGCGAAGTAGCAATAAAAGCAATGATTGTATTCCTTGTCGTTACCCACCAAATGCAATTGCGTTACTAGTGCAAGACAAAAGAAGAAAAAACGTCGTTGGCAAGTTGTAACTGAAAAAAAATAGCTTGTGACGGTAACTGAATTACAAACGGAGCGTCACATTTCCAAGCCTAGTTTCATTGTATGAAAAAATGACTCTGTTCGACTGTACGCTGCGCTATTAAAACACGTTGCGGTTCAACAGTTAAACCATCTAGCAAACTGTGTTAAAGGTCGCATGAAAAATCATCGCCATGGGCGATCGCGGGCGCGCAACGCACGTTGCATTGGCCAATAACGCAATTATTTTCCGGCGCATCGGCGCTCGATCATTGAAAACAAACACGGAAAATAGCCGCGAATACCTTCGGCATTAACGTTGCAGGTCGTATTCGCGAATAATCCTCTCAGCGGGCTGCTGATAGCGGTTACCTTGGCTGCGGTAGCGCCAGGTGCATTGGCGTTGTCTGCAGCCACCGGCGTCCTTGGCCTCCTACTGTCCGTGGTATGTTTTATTAATCATCGGCTGTACTACACGTTTGTTTGCGCGGCGAGCGTGCGAATATACCGAAAAGAGGCATAATACACTTCTCTTGGGGGCGCGCGAGCGTAAGGTAAACGACGCTTTTCCGGACTCGTCGCTATTCATACGCGCGACGGTGCAGCGTGTGACGCTCTCCATCTCCCTTTTATCTCTTTCGGTCGTAATGGACCGTTCGCGTGCACACGAGGAAAAATCACTGCAATGCGGTATTCGCCTTTTCGCTTCGTCTCGTCTCGTTTCATTTCGTCTCGTGGCGACGCGCGACGCGCGGCGGAATCCCAAATTTTTCCGCGCCGCGGATCCGTTTTGCGCGCGCCACACTCGTTCTTCCTCTTCTTTTCCAGCTGGTACGAGATTCTCAGGACAATGTGGAGAACGGGTTAACCGTGTACAATCCGTTGCTAGTCGGCGTTGTATCGTACGCTCTGGTGCCGCAGATTTATGGAGCTTTCGATGCCTTCAGCTTCCTGCACTTACTCTTGGGAACGATATTCAGGTATATTCGAGCATATCTCGGCATATTCGGAGTACGTATCCGCGGAGCGCACTCGAAAAATCTTTCAACGCGAGTAATAAATCGTTCGTCTCCTACATTAGCGCGTTGCGCGACATACGTTGAGATTAAATTACCTCCTAAAGTACATATCGCGAGACGTAAATGAGGACGAGCGAATAATATTTGGATAACCCCGGAGTTTCTATATATGACGTGTGCCACGGATATTGCACGAAAAGTACCTCTTAAAAATAGTAATAAATAGTAATAAATAGTAATTATATAATTTTTTGACGAGGAGTGACAACTGATTCGCATACATTTTGTACTATTATTTAAAAGTAATGCTCAAACACATATCTAACTCTAGACATTCTTTTATTGTTTGGTGCTTAAACATCATAATTCAATAACGATAATAATAACGATTTTATTAATGGCGAAAACAGAAGGATTAGGCAAAAATAAATATGTCTACTAAATGCGCATCTAATTCTGGGCATCTTTATTGTTTTGACTTTTAAACACGGATATTTAAACTTTTAACATAAAATATATGTATATATATTCAAAATATGTATATATATATATATATATATATATATATATATATATATATA